TGGATCAGGACCTAGAGATGACCTCTACAGCCCTGAATGTCAGCGGAGACCAGGACAACTAGATGAGCCCCAGATACAGATCCCCAGTGAAGACCTGGTCTCTTAGACGTCCACCGGGACAAGACCACAGGAACCAGATGAGTCCTCTGCTCAATGTGACTTTGCTGCAGCCTGGAATTGAACTGCTGGTTTCGTCTGGTCAGAGGAGAACTGGCCCCCCGACTGAGCCTGGTTTCTCCCAAGGTTTTTTCTCCATTCTGTCACCAATGGAGTTTTGGTTCCTTGCCGCTGTCGCCTCTGGCTTGCTTAGTTGGGGACACTTAATATCCAGCGATATCGTCGACATGACTGCACAGATACTATTTAAACTGAACTGAGCTGGATGATGACATCACTGAATTCAATGATGAACTGCCTTTAACTGAAAATTGAATGTTTACTATTGTCATTTTGCAGTATTGACACACTATTTCTGAATGGAACGCTGTAAAGTTGCTTTGACACAATCTGTATTGCGAGTGCACTTGCTAAATGAAGGCAGATTGTATACAATGGATCAAACAAAAAACGTTGTTTATTAATGAGCTGCAGTTTTATTACATCACACACTGACGCAGATGAAGTATATTAAGGCCACGGGTCATCAATAAGGTGCATATTGGACCTCAATTTCAGTACATTATTTTTAAGTGTTTTAGAGTGTTTCCAACACACTTTTCACAGCACGCATCGCGCGCTCAAACTCATCAGTAGTCAAAAAGTTGCCGACTTCTCCAAGTGACTGCTGCAGGATGCAAGCGAGGGAGAGACTCAGCAGCGCAGATCGCGCGTCTCTCTATGTACTTCAGTAATGGGAATTTACTGCATTATGAACGTGGCACTTGCAGGAGTTGTTAACATTGTACACAATACCTGCAACCTCACATCAAATTTCAGGTCCTGTAGGTAGGCAATACAGATAATTTAGTAAACAGAAATCCGAAATTTACCTTAATATATTAGAGGAAGATGCTGGTCACTCGACAGAATTGATGCTCGAAGAATGCACTGATAAAAACTACTTAATTACTGTAACGTGAATATTTGTTATTCGTTACTTCACACCTCTGATCATCAGCTGGCTGGTCACCTAGTGGTTACAGAAACGTACAACAGAATCTTAAGACACTTCTTCTGGCCAGGATTGAAAAAGGTTGTGGTAAAGTACTGTCGTGCTTGTCATACTTGCCAACTAGTTGGAAAGCTGAATCAGGTGATTCTGCCTGCTCCACTGTCTCCTGTACCAGTAATCGGGGAGCAATTTGAACACATAATTGTGGACTGCGTGGGCCCAATGCCTAAAACAAAATCTGGTAACCAATTTTTGTTAACAATAATGTGTGTGGCTACTAGATTTCCGGAAGCAATTCCAGTATGAATGATTACCGCTCCCGTTATCATTAAGGCACTAGTGAATTTTTTCCCCCCACATTTGGCCTGCCTAAGGTAATACAAAGTGATCAAGGAACAAATTTTGTGTCTAAACTTTTTAAACGGGTATTACAGTCACTCGTAATTACTCAAGTGCATACCATCCTGAGAGTCAGGGTGAGCTTGAACGTTTTTGCCAGACGCTCAAGTCTATGCTTAGAAAGTATTGCCTAAACACAGCTAGGGACTGGGATGATGGAGTCCCCTTGGTTTTATTTGCCGTGAGAGAGACTGTACAAGAACCTCTTGGTTTTAGTCCGGCCGAGCTTGTATTCGGACATCAGGTGAGAGGACTGCTAAAAGTTCTAAAACAACAAATGCTGACTATTGAGTCAAGTCCGAAAACTAATATATTGGATTATTTTAGTCAATTTCGTGATCATTTAAACTCTGCGTGCACACTAGCTAAAGAGTAGCTAGCCAGTGCGCAGAAAGGCATGAAGCGCAAGTACGATCGGAAGGCTGTTGCATGCTCTTTTTATGCCTGGTGATGAAGTGCTTGTACTTTTACCTGTGTCAGGTTCATCCCTCTCTGCTCGATTCTTTGGTCCCTATATCATAAAAAATCAATTCTGAGTTTAGTTTTTAACAGGAGATGGCACTGCGTGCTTTAGAAACAGCCATAATCTTCTTGCTTCCAGTTCCTTATATGTACCACTTGAACATAAAATAGTCATTCATACGGTTCTAAAAGGTTGAAGCGAATTACAAGAGTGTTCACAGTGGGCTGTGTTTACATTAATCTCACGTCATAAAAGCATAAAAGCAAAGGTGCAAGTACATTTAACCACTTACATTACTCAGCTGAAACTCAGTTGTTAACAAGTAATTACTTCTTCATGAGCTTTGAGTGTGCAGTTAAAAAACTAGCCTAGGGTGCCATCTGCTGTTAAAAACTAAGCTCAGAATCGATCCCAGAGAGAATTGCAATGCATTTGGAAAATCACAGAATCGATCCACAAATGTATTTATTGTCACACCCCTAGTAAACATAAAACCATTTCTGCATTTGTGATCAGATAAACGACAAACAACAAGCGCTACTCTACACTGCTCAAAACTCACGTTTGAATAGTCAGTAGCAAACTCTTTAAATATGAAAAGGCTGAGAATCAAACTGTTGTTGAAGCGAATGCTGCTCATGTAGCTGTTCTGATTGCAATTAGCGAGGAACATTGTGACAAAAGAAGAATGACATGAAACACCATTGATAGAGCATCCCTGATCACTGAGAAAAACCTGGGCTTTCCACTGCAGCTTATGTTACCAAGTTACCATGTGTTTTAATTTCTACACCTCCATTGTTACCATTGCTGTTATCATAGTTGTTATAATTTTTTCCCT